GACATTCTCCGAATGCTCCAGTTACGACTATCTAGGTCGTGAAATCAACATGATGAACGACGTAGCTCCAGAGTTGAGCAGGAGGAAACGAGCGGCTTGGGGAACGTTCAAGAGCATCGACGATGCAGTGACAGAGGACAAAGAACATCCGACTCCGTGCCCACCTTTTCGACTCGACAATTATCCGTGCCCTAACGTATGCAGCAGAAACCTGGTCGCTACGTAAGCAGGATGAGAGATCACTTGGCGTTATCGAAGGCGCAGTCGAAAGGTCGATGCTAGGAGTATCTCGTATCTCGCAAATGAGAGGAAAAGGCATCCGAAGTTCCGACCTACGTCAACGATCGAAAATCAGAGACGCCGTTCTACACGCCAGGATATCGAAAATACGGTGGGTCGGACACGTGATGCGCTTCAACGACAACCGATGGACGAGAGCCGTTACCGACTGGATTCCTCGGGACGTCAAGCGCTCTAAAGGAAGACCACTGACCCGTTGGTCCGATTTCTTCACGAAAGCGATGGAAGAAAGATATGACGCTCAGCGAATCCCTAGAGCAAGGAGGACCCACTGGGCTACTCTTGCACGCGATAGGGAAAAATGGAAGAGTTGCTGGTACCCGCTCGAGTCACTCGACGATCAACGGGACGACAGGTGATACAGGTGATTACATACATACTATAGGGTTGGCCCATTCTTGACTTCACACTAAAGTTTTACTTAGTTTTAAGTTCTGTTTGAAAGTGGTTACACAAGAAAGGGACGGATGGAATATGTGCTGAGATCCGCACAACTAGTGAGGACGGACCATGAAAGTAATCCAAGTACGCAGTTAAAATTGGGTAATTGCCGAAAACTGTGGTTTGTTGGAGATTGTTCTACTAGCGTGGAGAGACACTTGGATAGGGGCTGCAGCACCACTGGTCGCCATACAGATGAAATGGGCTATCGTAAGTGATGTCTCGATGGCTACCTCATGTACTGACTGACCAACTCACATGGCAGAGTCGGCTCGCCACGACCTGAAGAAAGTAAGACGAACCGCGGTACCACTGCACCGTATAGCCTTGATTTTGTTTCATTGGCTTATCATCTTTTCGGCACTGTGAAGCAGCATTTGCACGAGAAGAGATCTTGAAGACTACAACCAGCTCGAAAGTGACCTCACCGATTTCTTTGATCGTCAGTCCCAAGTTGCGTATCGTTCGGTCATTGGCGAATTACTGTTCAATTGATTTCTTCAAATAAATAATTATGGAGTTGACAAAAGTGTCGAAATTAGAAAAAAAATATATACATGTACATATACATGTATATGCATGTATGTATATGTATACAAATACATGTATGCATCTATATATGAGTACATATATACGTGTACGTGTGCATTTATATATGAAATTACATACATATGTACACATATATACATGCATACATGTATGTGTATACATATGCACGTATTTCATGTATATACACATATATGTATACTTATATAAGAGAATAGGAGCGCGTGCAGCGCAGTGGTTAAAAGTGTTCTGTGACAAACACGTAGTCGATTAATTAGTGCGTTCAACGGTTCGATCACGCGTTCATAACTCTCCAAGCAATCCGTCTATCTGGGATCGGCGAATTGCTACCAGGCTTGTCTGGCAGAACAGCAGCACTGACTTGATACATCGGTAGATCACCACGAGCCATTACAAAGGGTACATATCCATTAAATCATCTCAAACGATGCTACATGGAGGACGCATGCATAACGCATCCTTCAGGGAGTTACCAACGCCGAGAGCTTCACAGCGTTATACATGTATACATACAAGTATCAACCTGTATCACCTGTCGTCCCGTTGATCGTCGAGTGACTCGAGCGGGTACCAGCAACTCTTCCATTTTTCCCTATCGCGTGCAAGAGTAGCCCAGTGGGTCCTCCTCGCTCTAGGGATTCGCTGAGCATCATATCTTTCTTCCATCGCTTTCGTGAAGAAATCGGACCAACGGGTCAGTGGTCTTCCTTTAGAGCGCTTGACGTCCCGAGGAATCCAGTCGGTAACGGCTCTCGTCCAGCGGTTGTCGTTGAAGCGCATCACGTGTCCGGCCCACCTTATTTTCGATATCCTGGCGTGTAGAACGGCGTCTCTGATTTTCGATCTTTGACGTAGGTCGGAACTTCGGATCCTTTGTCTCATTTGCGAGATACGGGATACTCCTAGCATCGACCTTTCGACTGCGCGTTCGATAACTCCAAGTGATCTTTCATCCTGCTTACGTAGCGACCAGGTTTCTGCTGCATACGTTAGGGCAGGGATAATTGTCGAGTCGAAAAGGTGGGCACGGAGTCGGATGTTCTTTGTCCTCTTCACTACATCTTCGATGCTCTTAAACGTTCCCCAAGCCGCTCGTTTCCTCCTGCTCAACTCTGGGGCTAGGTCGTTCATCATGTTGATTTCACGACCTAGATAGATGTAACTGGAGCATTCGGAAATTGTCGTTCCGTTGAGCGTGAATGGGGCATTAGAAACCCATCCGTTCCTCATGAACATTGTTTTCGTTAGATTCAGTTGAAGACCGATCTTTCCACAGGCGTTATCGAAAACAGTCAACATTCGTTCCGCTTGGCTGATATTTGGTGTTATGAGAACGACATCGTTGTTACTGTTTTTGGCATTTTGATATCCAACGTGTAGCTTGCCAGGCTCTAAAAGTGGGGGCTGGGTACTCACGAGTAGCTTGCCAGTCTCTTCGGAGGAGCAGGAGGAGTTACTGTTGGAGGCGACTCCTAACCGCCTCCCATGTACTTCCCAGCCGCTTGATTGCAGGCTTTTGGCCGACTTGACTCGTAGAAATAGAGTTTTTGTCAAGTCGGCGCTGCAGAAGTAGGGAGCTCGTCCCCTGAATCCACCTGCGTCTCTGGGAAGCACATGGTCGCTTTTGATTCGCGTTTTGTTCCCTATCCACCACCTGGGGACGCGCCACGTGCCCTCGCGACTAACCGGGCGGGATCCCTCAAAGAGGGAGGTCCGTGGACATACAAGTATACATATGGATATATATGTGCATATGCTAGGATATAGTCTTAGTTCTTTTCTGCAGTGTGCGAGTCCCAGTATTTCTAGCATCCAATCAGTTTTCTCGCATTCATAACTAGATTGAGAATTTCACCTTCCTTACTAACAAACAAGGAAAAGAGTGTTCAAGCACATTTTGCAATCTCGAGTATAGCCATGGCGTTCGTTGTTGACTGCCGTAGAGTGTAGAGGGGTCGGGAATCGATGTACCACTCAAAAAGAGCTAGGGAACGCCACAGCCAGACTGTCCTCGACATTGCAAGAAGACGTGCTCATCCAGTATTCTATGACGTTCAAGAAGTAGACGAAAAAACGATTGAATGCTAGAAGTACCGAGAACCGCACAGTGAAAAAAAAATACTGAGAAGAAGGATAAATGTTTAAAAAGTATATGCACTTGTACAATCACTAATAAGAAGAAAGCTTAGCACTAGATTCCTTTCAAGAACAAATGCAGCGTCTCAGCTCGATCGCATGCTGGGCCAACTAATATATACAGCGATTTCTTTAACATATTAAGCCTTCCATCGGTTGAAGTAGGGGAAACAGTTTTGACTGTCTAGGTTGAAAAAATCCTTCTGATACATTGAACTGACAATCACGAAACCTATGATCGCCCTACCACAACTATCACAAAATTCTAAGAAAATTGCAGCTGCTAGAATTCAACGATATCAATGAAGAAGCCCAAAATTTTCAACTTCATCTAAATAGATAGGCATGTCACAAGATATGAAGAGAAGATACGACAGATTTGGGACAAGAACGGACAGCAATTCCTTCGGCACATGAATCAAACTACGCCGCATTTCTAGAAATGACTGAAACTAGTGACGTTTGTGGAGGTGGTGGTGAGTAGTAGTGATAATCGATGCGGGTTTGAACCCTCCCACAATCTCTAGCAACAATTCAACGGACGCCCCAGGACGGCTATCCTCGACTTTCAAGGAGAGCTGTCTGACCAGTATTCTATGAGGTACATGAAAAAGATGAAACCGTCATGCAAGCGATTAATGCGAGAACAAAAATCGAATAGTGGAGATACTACGATCCCACACAGTGAAATGTGAAGATGGTTCATATGAAAACAAGAATAAAGAATTTTCTTATGTTTCTATTTCTTTTTTTGCAGTGCTATGATGTTTCAAATACACCTAAGAGAATTGAGTGGCAAACAGAATATTGAACTAAGTTGGAGTTGAAACCGCGTTTCACCCAGCCCAAGGGCACGTTCTACCACTACACCACAAAGGCCACCACTTCGCCACCGCTCATTTTTCGATGTATTGCCATAGCTTTGAACCCGGTTGAGCTAACAGCCATTGTGCTTATATAACCCAAGATATGTGCCTTACCCAACAAATCTGCTAAAGGTTGCTGGCTGATAGCTATGATAACAATATGTAGCAGGATGAGTGCTTGTGAAGCGGTGGGGTCTGTGGCTTAGCGGTAACACGTGCCCTCGGTATATGTGAGACGCGGGTTCAACACCTGCTTGTGGTTAGGATTTTGCTTACCACTCAATCCACTTAAATGTTTATACCTAAGGGAATTGAGTGGTGAGCAGAAACACGACCTTAGGCGGGAATCGAACCTGCGTTCCTTCCATACCAGGGACACTTGCTACTACCACCACACCACCGAGGCAGGTTTGCACGACCACCTCTTAGGTATATGCGAAACATCATAACACTACGAAAGATGCAAATAGAATAATAAAAAATTTTTCTTGAATATATTTAAAAAAAACTGTTTGAAAGCTGACCACAGTGCTGATACGCCTTTTCCCTAGCTTCGCACGGAACAAGCATTTGTTGAAATCGGATGGTTGAGAATCGGCGGCGTTCTTCGCTTGTGGCTTCGTACGACCATCATCTAAACGATTGAGGACAGTATCAACTGCTTTCGAACATCGTAGAATTTTGGCAGATTCAATGCTGTGCTCAGTTAATTATATTAAAACCTGACAAAGTACACGGTTATTGTGTACAAAAAAATACAACAGAATTCGTATCAGTGGTTAACGTTACGGCAGTTTTGCCTTCCTCGGAGCCGTTTTGCTGTTTTGTTATCCATCAAATACACCGCCTCGTCCATGTAAGATTCAGTACGGCTTGTCTACATATATAGTGGATAACGAAAGAACAAATCGGCTTCGAGGAAGGCAAGACTGTCGAGACGTTAGCCTCCGATACGAACTCTATTGTACCTAATTTGTACAAGATAAACGGGTATTGAGAACCTCGTCTTCGATGAAATAAAAAAAACTCGGTTTTTTTCAATCAATGCCGAAGTTAATCGATAATCGATCTTGGGAACTGTAACAAAAAAAATATTTACAGGATATTAGGTCGTTCCATAGGTCTTGGCACTAGAGCATCAAACACCAAACTTATTAACCAGAAGTAAATAAAATTATATGATTTTGATATCATTCATTTGCGCATTTTTCTGCGAACATTTTGGTACACAACTTGTCTACACTTGCTTCAAGATGGAGCTATCTTAGGAACAAATTCGCTTGCTACTCAAGCACCGAATGACGCAGAGGGAGAATGCTAGCGAAGCGGCGTGCAAGACTTATGGAGCTTCCTGTTAACGGCCCGAACGCGACTGATCCTCCAGACTGCTCTCTCCAGCTTCGAAATTCGCGAATCACTTGCTATGTGTCCTTTGTGCAAATCTGTCACTGCTTCAAGTTCCATTAGTCTTGCGCGCTGCCTCACTAACATTTTCCCTACGCGACATTCGTGCATGAGTAGCAAGCGAATTTGTTCCTAAGACAGCTCCATCCTGATACAAGTATGAGCAAGTTATTGCCGAGATGTTCGCAAGAAAATGCGCAATTGAACGACACCAAAATCATGTAATTTTATAAAATCAGCGTCTTAATCAATTCACTGATCCACCTTCATAGCTTTTTTTACTAAGCATTCCCGTACCTTTAGCACTGAATTTATTTATCCGCTTCTTCTTGAACGTCGTAGAAAATTGGTTGAGCGAGTCTCCTTACAGTCTCGAGGATAGCCTGGCTGTGCCGTCCCATAGGGCGCTATTGGTGGCTGCCGTAGAGAGTTGGTGGGGAGCTCAGCTTCAGGTACGCCGTTACGAGCATCACAGCAACTCGGCCACAAAGCCCTCGCAATTTTAACTACTTCCGGCTAATAAATTTGGTGTTTATTGCCCTAGTGCCGAGACTTATGGAACGGTCTAAAACAAATTACTTATGGAACGACTTAATAATTATGTAAGGGGTTGATCCTCGAGGCAATGACTAGACGAAAAGGCAACGTGCAAATAAAGAGGCTGCAAGGCCGAAACACATGTACTGCACAGTACAACTGCCATCTCAGACCATATGCATGGCTCAAAATTAACTAGTAGGTATACTGAAACTTTAGCGTGGTCCAGGGAAAAGATCGAATCGAAGAATTGATTGCTCTTTGGATTCTTTTTGATTAGAACGGAACAAATGAAAAACCGATTTCATTCGCTGGAGAGGAACTCTTCATAAGGGTATTAGTAACCATTCGAAAGTTGTGACTTAAAGCTACAGCCACACGTCACCGGTTTTTTCAAAACAACCCTTATAACGTTATAGCATCCAGATCAAAAATGTCTCACACTCTCCTCTCGACCTTCATTTTTATTAGGTGTATAAATCGCTGGAAGCCGAAAAGCATATAAATGTGTAGAGAAATTTCCATAGTATCTTAGTCCATCGCTTTATCCGGAGTTTCTTCGAAGCGGAGGAAAAATACCCAATTGAACAACGAAGTATGATCGCCCCGCCTCGCCCGCCCCTGCCACCCTTGCCACGGCCCTCGCCTTGCCGTATAGCCGGTGAACAACGTGCAAAAATGTGAAACTCAATAACATTTCTCCTGGTAAACCTTACTTCCCAAAAATAAGCACATTGCTAGGATGAGGAAACATTACGCTATCAGATGATTAGTAATAGTCTAAAGAAAAAGAACACTGCCGGCGTGATTTGGAGCACATCAAAAGATCAGAGGAGATCAAAAGATCAGGGGAGCTTTTCAAAAATCAGACACATTTTGAGCACTTTGAAGCTTGTGCTAAAGTTTGAGTACTAGCATTCCAAGAATGAAGTGTTGTCCAGCAAAATATAAGCGAGAAAACAGAGAAAAAAAAGTTGTTTTCTGAAACATGATTTTGAATGCTACAGCGTTATAGAGGGATATTTTGAAGAACTGGCCAGTAGCCTCAATTCTCAGCTTTCGAATGGCTACTAACACTCCTAAGAGACATTGAACCCACTTTAGTAGACAGATATTGGGTTCAAAAATCAATCGGAAATCATCTTTATTTGACCACCGATTGCGGTGTTATGTCGTTTAAATAAACCCAATGATGATGTAGAGTGGTGTGCAAAAACGTTTCGCGTCAGCCGGAATTTGGACCCAGATCTTACTCTTTCCGAGTAAGAGTGCAAAAGAGTGTAAAAATGAAGGTGCAAAACGAGCGTCGTGATGCAACGCTTTAACACATGCTCCCGGAAAGAGAGTAAGATCTGGGTTCAAATCCCAGCTGACGCAAACGTTTTTGCACACCACTCTACATCATTGGGTTTATCTAGACGACATAATACCGCAATCGACGGTCAAATAAAAATGATTTGCGATTGATCATTGACTTCTAGGAGAAGCGGCACCGTCCTCTTTGAATCGCTGAGTTGTGATCTCAACATAGCTATGAAGGCGACGAGAATATTCACACGGTTTCATTGTGACGTAGACAGATTTCGGTCCACCGAGACGAGCATCCATATACATCCTTCCCAACTGACTGAGAAACTCGTCATTGCTCAGGATCGTCATGGCTGTTCCTGAATCAAAACACGGGAAAACATTAAGGAATCGAAAAGAATTTTTTAGAAACTGAAAAGAAATCTTGTCCGGTGATTATTTTTGAGCCATGCATGTCAGTGGTCTACCAAACAGGGCTGACTTATAGAGCCCGATACACGTGTTTCGATCTTGCGATCTCGTCACTCGGGCAGTTACCCTTCCCGTCTTTCACTGGACATAGAGTGTAAAACGTTCGTCTTCGCTAACTCTTAGTGTGGGAACTGCAGCACCCACACAGGATTGGCAAAAGACGAGAAAGGGTAATTGCCCGAGTGACGAGATCGCAAGATCGAAACACGTGTATCGGGCTCTATAGGTCAGCCCTCTTCGATAGACCACTAACATGCAAGGCTCAAAAATAATCACCAGGCATATGATTGAATTTGAGGAATTTGAGCTGTGGTCTTAAGAAAACACTCGAAACGAAAGACATGAGAGACTTGTCGTTGAGGAAAAAAAACCGGACCCGCGACACTAAAAAGAACCCGTGCTGCCGGCCAAGTAGATCCGTTGATGAGGAATGGCTGAGCTTGAAGGGCACTAATGGTCTGTAAAATTACGTCGAATGTGGCCGATTCACGTACTATTGCACACTCTCCTGCGCTCGAGGCAAACAAGGAAATCACATGGCTTTTGTCTGGGATGGATCGTGGTGTAGGGGGTGATGGTCCGGCACAGGAGGGGAGGGGGGAGGGGGCCCTAGTTCTTTCTAAATGGTTTTCTGTGAAGGGGCTAAGGGGCGAACTTTCCCAGGAATTGCTGCTAACTGCGCGACCCTCGTAGATAAATCTATTTGGAACCGTAAACATGGGTAATTAAACTTTGGACTTTTATATTTATTAATTTGTAAGAGACATATTTTTTCACTTTTTTCTTTTTTAGTTTGGCTGATTTTGAGCATGGAGTTGTTTTTGATTTTTTAACTCGACTTTTTTCAAGGTTTTTTTTATTGTCTATTACATTTGAATTTCAACTTGTCTAGTTGAATTGTTAGTCGTCGGTCGACCATTGCTAACTATGCGGGTTTAGTGTTTTTTTTCGATTTTTTATTTGTGGATCGATCGCTCATTTCGAGTGTTTTATTAAGACCAAGCTCAAATTTTAATATATCATAATTAAAAAAAAAGTGCTGTGCAAAACGAGCGTCGGTGGTGCAACGGCTAGCATACGCTCCCGGAAAGAGCTAAATTTGGGTTCGAATCCCGGCTGACGAAAATGTTTTTGCATAGCATTCCACATTATTGGGTATACTATAACATCATACCACTGCAAGTGGCAGTCAAATAAAAAAGCATTCTGACTGATTATTTCATGATTATTATTTGATCCAACATGTCATGTGCTCTGTTAATGGGCTCTTCTGCGGCCCGATACACGTGTTTCGGCCTTGCAGCCTCGTCACTCTGGCAGGCTTTTCGCCCTTAACCAATCCTCTCGGAGCTCCCTACGTCACCCTATAAAGAGGTGGACGACGACGAATGATTTACACGATTGCCGTCAAGTGAAAAATCACTGTTCACCTGTCGCCCCGTTGATCGTCGAGTGACTCGAGCGCGGGTACCAACAACTCTTCCATTTTCCCTATCGCGTGCAGGAGTAGCCCAGTGGGTTTTCCTCGCATCTAGGGATTCGCTGAGGATCATATCTTTCTTCTATCGCTTTCGTGAGAAATCGGACCAACGGGTCTGTGGTCTTCCTTTAGAGCGCTTGACGTCCCGAGGAATCCAGTCGGTAACGGCTCTCGTCCACCAGTTGTCGTTGAAGCTCATCACGTGT